AAAAAAAAAAAAAAAAAAAGAACAAAAAAAGAACAAAACAAGGAAGTTTATTTTTAGATAAGCAAGCACCAAAATAATTTTAAAGTATTAAAATGCAAGTTAAAGAAATAGAAATAGGCTGGGCATGGTGGCTCACACCTATAATCCCAGCACTTTGGGAGGCCAAGGCAGGTCGATCACCTTAGGTCAGGAGTTCCAGACCAGCCTGGCCAACATAGCAAAACCCCGTCTCTACTAAAAACACAAATTAGCTGCGCGTGGTGGCACATGCCTGTAGTCCCACCTACTCAAGAGGCTGAGGCAGGAGAATCGCTTGAACCCGGGAGGCAAAGGTTGCAGTGAGCCAAGATCATGCCACCGCACTCCAGCCTGGCTACAGAGCAAGACTCCCTCTCGAAAGAAAGAAAGAAAGAAATATTGCTTAATAGTGTTACTCTTGAATACTTGAGTACTTATATTAAATAAATTCAAGTTTAGGTAGCAAGAAGAAAAGACCCTTGCCTTATAGAAAGCCCTTAGGGTTTAAGACTCATGCTGTTTACCGGAAAGGATGCAACAAAATTTCATTTTAGTAAGGAAGCCTGGTTACAAATCAGATCATCATATAATTATCATATGACATCAGGGCAAAAGAACAGACCTTTTTTCTTCTGAAAAGGCACATTTTTGTTAATATTTTTAAAAGCCTAATTCAATTAAATTTCTTTAAAATACTGGTTTTGTCCAATTTTTTTCCTTATTAAAAGCTATTGAAAATACCCTCTAAGTAGCTTTTTTCTTCTTTTATTTTTAGGAACGACCCCTCTCTTGTCACTCAGGCTGGAATGCAGTGGTACTGAAACTTACTGCAGGCTTGAGCTCCTAGGCTTAAGCAATCCTCCCACCTCAGCCTCCCTGTAGCTGGGACCACAAGTGTGTACCACCATGCTTGGCTATTTAAAAAAAAAAAAAAAAAAATTGTGGAGATGGTGTCTCTCTGTGTTGCCCAGGCTGGAGTGCAGTAGTGCAATCATAGTTCACTGCAGTCTCGAACTCCTGGGCTCAAGTGATCCTTCGGCCTCCACCTCCTGAGTAGCTGGGATCACAGGCATGAGCCACCATGCCTGGCTAATTTTTTAAAAAAATTTTTAATAGACATAGGGTCTCACTGTGTTACCCAGGTTGGTCTCAAACTCCTGGCCTCAAGCAATCCTCCCGCCTTGGCCTCCCAAAGCACTAGGATTATAGGTGTGAGCCCACTGCACACAGCCCTTGAGTCTTTTTTCCTCATTAGCATGTGTATTAGCTTCTTACTTGGCACTGCAACAAATGACCACAAATTTAGCAGCTTCAACAACATAAATATATTGTCTTACAATTTTGTAGGACAAAAGCCTGACCAGGCTGAAATCCAGGCATTGGCTGGGTCAGGTTCCTTTCTGTAGGCTCCAGGTACCATCCATTTCCTTGCCTTTTCCAGCTTCTAGAGGCCTCCCACATTCCTGGCTGGTGGCTCCTTCCCTCATCTTCACACAGCAAAGGCAGAGTCAGAGTGGAGCCTTCTCGTGTCACATCACTCTGTCCAGCTCTCCTGTTTCCCTCTTGCAATGCTAAGGATCCCTGTGATTACACTGAGCTCACCCAGATACTTCAGGATAACCTCCCTATTTTAAGGTCGGCTGATCAGCAACTTTAATTCTCCTTTGCCATGTAAAATAACATATTCTCAGGTTCCAAGGATTAGGATGTGGGCATCTTTGTCTGTTCTGTCTGTGTGTGTTTGAGGGGGTGGGTGGAGGCCATTATTCTGCCTACCACACTATATCTTATCAATAATTAAAAAGCATCTTCTAAGAGAGGACTATTGCAATTTGGGTACCAATAACATTTGCATAGTGCCATTACATCCAAATTACATTCAGATTGCATTACTCACTGGTGAAAAATGCTGCAGCTCTTAAGCAAAGTTTTTATCTTTTAGTTGCATTTTAGTTGATTCCCGTGTTTTCCTTTTCTTTTTTTTTTTTTTTGAGACAGAGTCTTGCTCTGTTGCCCAGCTGGAGTGCAGTAGCACAATCTCAGCTCACTGCAACCTCCGCCGCCCAGATTCAAGCAATTCTCCTGCGTCAGCCTCCCAGGTAGCTGAGACTACAGGCACGCACCACATGCCTGGCTAATTTTTTGTATTTTTTAGTAGAGACAGGGTTTCACCATGTTGGCCAGGATAGTCTTGATCTCCTGACCTCATGATCCACCCACCTCAGCCTCCCAAAGTGCTGGGATTACAGACATTAGCCTCCACCCCTGGCCGTTAATTTTTTGTTATTTTGGGACAGGGTCTTGCTCTGTGGCCCAGGCTGGAGTATAGTGGCACAATCACGGTTCACTGCCGCCTAGGCTCACATGGTCCTCCAGAGTAGCTGGGACTACAAACATGTGTCACCACACTCAGCTAATTTTTTTATTTCTTGTAGAGACAGGGTTTCATTATGTTGCCTAGGAATCTTCTTACCTCACCCTCCTAAAGTACTGGGATTACAGGCATGAGCCCCTATGTCTGACCTCTTCTTCACTAGTAATGATTTGTATATTATAATCTTGGAGTATAACTGTAAATAGACCCTTCAATCTCTATGACCTATCCAGGATTTTTTACATAGACAGGGTTATGTGAGAAACACTTACCAAGTGCTTCTCAAATGGGGTGATCTTGCTCACCCACAGGACATCTGGCAATATGTGCAGACATGTCTTAGTTGTCACAACTGAGGAGAAGATGTTATTGGTATCTAGTGGGTAGAGGCCAAGGATGCTGCTAAACGTCCTACAAAACACAGGACAGCCCCCACAACAAAGTCATCCAGCCCAAAGAGTCAATCGTGCCAAGGTTGAGAAACCTTGGCTTAGCAAGATGCCAGCCTACAGCACCCCACCCCCAACTGAATTAGGTATTAGTAAATGGATCAGGGTTGTATTAGTGTATTGATTTGTATGCTGATTGACTTAGATGTTATACTAATTAGATTACGAGCTAACTAAAATTCTGGTCAAAAGATCAACTGGAGGAAACAGAAGATGGGTAGATCAGTACATACCAATCCACGTGAAATGTGAAAGGTAATATACTGAAAGAAAGTAAGCCTGACTTGGAGCCTCAATTGATGAAACTGATACCCTTCTCTCATGGTTCTCATCTCTACACTTCTTCTTTACCTACATTGCAGGTGTTCCTGGCTCCATGCCAAATGCATCCTGGACTGGAAACCTCAGAGCTATAAAGTGGAATGACATGGAAGACAAACATGGAGGCTGCCACGGTGAGGCTCTCCTTCCATGCTTCTAGGATACTGCTTGTTGATGTTAGCAGGAAGATAGCTGTGGAATCCAGGTTTCTCATGGAGAGAGAACTGCTGCTATATTTAGACCGATCTGTTAGTTATTTGAGAAGCCAGAGGCTTCAAGACACAGTCCTTCAAAAATAAGTTTAAACATTTCACTGATATTCACCAACTTATAATTACCTAGGGAGATGAAAAGATGGGTTCAAATCATGATGCCATATTCTCCCTGCTAGTTTTCAGCTTTCTTTCTTTAGAGATAGGGTTTCACTCTGTCACCCACTGTGGAGTGCAGTGCCATGAATACAGCTCATTGCAGCCTCAAAATTCTGGGTTCAGGACTCCTGCCTCAGCCTCCCAGGTAGCTGGGACCACAGGCATGTGCCACCACACCTGGCTAATTTTTATTATTATTATTATTTCCTGTAGAGTCAGCTTTCCTTTTGTTTATTCCTCTTGCTGTGCCTTCTGAGAGCCCAGATGTTCAGAGGGGAGGAGAAGTGATGTCATGTTCTCACCACAGTGCAAGCTGGGCCCTGTCCCTCAGGCCAGTCCCTGCTCCCCCTACAGGCAGCCTTCCCAGGGGCTTGGAGAGCTGTCGGGGTTTGCACAGCTCTGGCATGGTGGATGACAGGTGACACTAAAGGGTACCGCTCAGAATGGAAGAGAACTAGAAATCCTCAGTCAGTTCCATTTCTATATAACTTTAAGGAAAAGAGTTTTTATCAGTCCTGGCACATTCAGAATATTGCCCAGCATATAGTGGGCATGAGTATCAGTTTGCTAGGGCTGCCTAGCACAGACTGGGTGCTTAACATTGGGTCCTGTCATCTAACTTCAGCTAGGCCTCCTGGCTACCTTCTTAACCTTTTGTTTACCTCGTTATTTTCCTAGTGCCCTTCCTAAGGTTCACTTTTTCAGCTTTCCTGCTTACCTTTAAGCTCCCAAGGTGTATTAGTCCGTTTTCACACTGCTGATAAAGACATACCCAAGACTGGGCAATTTACAAAGAAAAAGAAGTTTAATGGACTCAGAGTTCCACGTGGCTGGGGAGGCCCCACAATCCTGGCAGAAGGCGAAAGACACACCTTACATGGCAGTGGGCAAAAGAGAATGAGAGCCAAGCAAAAAGGGAAACCCCTTATAAAACCATCAGATCTCATGAGACCTATTCACTACGACAAGAACAGTATGGGGGAAAGCGCCCCCTATGATGCAGTTATCTCTCACTTCGTCCCTCCCACAACATGTAGGAATTATAGGAGCTATAATTCAAGACGAGATTGGGGTGGGGACACAGACAAACCATATCACAAGGTTATCCCAAAACAGCCTTTCTATTCTCAAGTGACCATTTCAACTTGAAAAAGAACTTTCAAGATATGTAATCAAAATTCCATCATAGTCCTTTGTCATGTCATCCCGCCCTGCCATCTTAGAGCAGTGTGGACACACCTTCTTATGTCCCTCCTGTTTCAAGAAGAAAAGTCACCCATCCCCCCAACAAAGCCACCAGCTATGGTCTCAGCTATCTGTGGGCACCCTCTCTCCCCTTGCCCTTTCGCATTCTCAGCCTCTCCCTTTCTGCTGCCTCTTTGCCTTCTCTCTGAAAGCGGGTACTTATTGCCCCTATCCTGAAGACATCAAGTTGCCTATGAACCCTCTGCTTGCTCCAGGCTGAAATACTCTTTCCTTGTTCACTTCTATTTCCTTAAGCTTGTGCATGAGGCCTGTGTGTTCAGTTCTCACTGCCTGGTCACAGAAGGGGAGAGCATTCCAGACTTCAGACTAGATCAATTCACCAAGAAACTTCTTTTAACTTCTTTAACTTCCTACAATTCTGGCTTCTTTCCCCTGTGATTTCCACTCGTTTTCTTTTCTTTTTTTTTTTTTGAGACTGAGTCTCGCTCCATAGCCCAGGCTGGAGTGCAGTGGCGCGATCTCGGCTCACTGCAACCTCCACCTCCCAGGTCCTGGTTCAAGCAGTTCTCCTACCTCAGCCTCCCAAGTAGTGGGATTACGGGCACGAGCCATCATGGCCAGCTAATTTTTGTATTTTTTAGTAGAGATCGGGTTTCACCATGTTGGCCAGTCTGGTCTTGAACTCCTGACCTTGTGATCTACCCGCCCCGGCCACCCAAAGTGCTAGGATTACAGGCGTGAGCCACCATGCCCGATTTCCGCTCTCTATGTTGCTTCTTCCCGCCCACTGAATTAATCACCACGTTCTTCAGCATGCATGACATTCTGTCTGTCCTGCACCAGCGTTTTCAATATCTTCCCTTTCCCACTCATCAGCCATTCACTTTGAACGAGCTCTCCAGTTTACATTGTTATTACTGCAGCCTCTTGGTTTCTAATGTACCTGCAAAACACTTCAAAATTAATCTTGCTAAAATCAGTTTCATCATTCGATTCTTCTATTCAAACATCTTTTTTTTTTTTTGGGATAGAGTTTCACTCTTGTTACCCAGGCTGGAGTGCAATGGCGCTATCTCGGCTCACCGCAGCCTCCGCCTCCCGGGTTCGGGCAATTCTCCTGCCCCAGCCTCCTGAGTCGCTGGGATTACAGGCACACGCCACCATGCCCAGCTAATTTTTTGTATTTTTAGTAGAGACGGGGTTTCACCATGTTGACCAGGATGGTCTCGATCTCTTGACCTCGTGATCCACCCGCCTCGGCCTCCCACAGTGCTGGGATTACAGGCGTGAGCCACTGCGCCCGGCCTATTCAAACATCTTTAAGGACTCTCCATGCTTATGGGATACAAGGCCCAACCCTTCAGTCTGTGAAGCTGGTTAAAAAGCAATTGTTCTATTATGTGCCCAGAGGAATCTCTGGAAAATGGTTATAACTTCCTGCCATTCTTATTTCTAACCTGTACCCTACAAAACCCCCTCTTCCAGCAGGAAGTCCCCACCACAAAAGTTATTGAGGTTAAAAAACAAATTCAAATCTGACATGTTACATTGCTGAGGTTTATTACACATCTAGGTAGAGATATAAGGTAGGCACTTGCTCAGGGAAAAGACTTACCCAATGCAACCCAGAAAGACCTCTCCCATCTGTATCACTGTAGAACTTCTCATCTGTAACTCTCATTTAATAATACAGTAGGCCTCCCTCATCCACAGGGGACACATTTCAAGACAGACAGCACTGAACTTTAAATATACTTTGTTTTTCCATGTACATACATATCTATGATAGAGTTTAATTTTTGAAGTAGGCATAGTTAGAGGTTAACAATAATAATTAATTATAAATAGAACAATTATAATAATATGCTGGAATAAAAGTTATGTGCATAAAAAAGTTATGTGAATTAAAGCTAGCTGGGCATGGTGGCTCACTCCTGTAATCCCAGCACTTTGGAAGGCCAAGGCGGGTGGATCACCTGAGGTCAGGAGTTTGAGACCAGCTTGACCAACATGGAAAAACCCCATCTCTACTAAAAATACAAAATTAGCCAGGCGTGGTGGTGCACACCTGTAATCCCAGCTAACTCAGGAGGCTGAGGCAAGAGAATTGCTTGAACCCGGGAGGCAGAGGTTGCGGTGAGCCAAGATTGTGCCATTGCACTCCAGCCTGGGCAACAAGAGCAAAACTCCATCTCAAAAAAAGAAAAATAAAGTTATGTGCTCTCTTTCTTTCTCTCTCAAAATATCTTATTATTTTTGGATCATGGCTGACTTGTGGTAATTGAAACCTCAGAAAGCAAAACTGCAGCTAAGAGGGGACAACTGCGCATGAATGGCCTTCTGACACCTATAATGTTACTAACACAATTTTAATATTAATATTGACAATTACCACAACAATTAACATAATAATGAAAATAGTAACAGGTGTTTCTCAAATGGGGTGATTTTGCTCACCCACAGGACATCTGGCAATATCTGCAGATATTTTTTGGTTGTCACAATTGAGGAGAAGATGCTATTGGTATGTAGTGGGTAGAGGCCAAGGATGCTGCTAAACATCCTACAAAACACAGGACAGCCCCCACAACAAAGAATCATCCAGCCCAAAGTAACACCTATAATGTTACTAACACAAATTTAAAATGATATAAAAGTATTGTATGCCTTGTATGATTTAACTCTCATTTTCTTCAAATATGGATTTGTACCTGTTGTTCTTTTTTTTTTTTTTTTGAGACAGAGTCTTGCTCTGTTGCCAGGCACCAGGCTGGAGTGCAGTGGTGCGATCTCGGCTCACTGCAACCTCCGTCTCCTGGGTTCAAGCAATTCTCCCGCCTCAGCCTCCTGAGTAGCTGGAACCACAGGTGTGTGCCACCACGGCCAGCTAATTTTTGTATTTTTTAGTAGAGAGGGCATTTCACCATGGTCTCAATCTCTTGACCTCGTGATCCGCCCGCCTCAGCCTCCCAAAGTGCTGGGATTACAGGCATGAGCCACTGTGCCCGGCCAGCTGTGCCTGTTGTTCTTCTAACTAGAGTTCCAGTTCCCTGTGGGCTGAGACTGCACAGTCATATTTCATTTGAATCCCATGGCATTTTGGCACAGTTGTAGTTACTCAGTCAGAGAGTAACTCTAGTATTCTGTTAAGTCCATCACCCTTTTGAAAGCAAGCATGTTTTGACTGTGTTTCTTGTTCTTTCTTTTGCAGGCCACTATGTACACGGTATTTGTATCTATGGAAATGGAGACTTAAAGTGGCTGGTGAATTCACCAAGCCTGTTTGCTAACAAGTTTGAGCTTAATACCTACCCCCTTACTGTGGAATGCCTAGAGCTGAGGCATCGCGAAAGAACCCTCAATCAGAGTGAAACTGCCATACAACCCAGCTGGTATTTTTGAGCTAATGGTAACCCCTGACTGAAGGGAAATTGCAGCTGGGAAGAGGAGCCCGTCTTTGGGAGAGACTTTTGCCTTCCTAATGTTAATGGTTTCAGGACCACATTTATAGCTTCAGGACCTGGCTACATAATTATACTTAAATTATCCACCGGACAGGCCGGGCGTGGTGGCTCATACCTGTAATCCCAGCACTTTGGGAGGCCAAGGCAGGTGGATCATCTGAGGTCGGCAGTTCAAGACCAGCCTGACCAACATGGAAAAACCCTGTCTCTACTAAAAATACAAAAAAATTAGCCAGGCGTGGTGGCGGGCGCCTGTAATCCCAGCTACTCGGGAGGCTGAGGCAGGAGAATCGTTTGAACCTGAGAAGCAGAAGTTACCCCGAGATCACACCATTGCACTCCAGCCTGGGCAACAAAAGCGAAACTCTGTATCAAAAAAAAAAAAATCCACTGGACACTGTGAAATACGCTAACAGGATGGCTGGGCACTTTGGCCAGTTTTAGTCTTGCCATTTCTTGATGTTCACCTCCATATTAGCTTATTGTTATGATCAATGATAAATTAAATGATATCAGATCTTTGCACCAGATACTCATCATATACAAATGTTCTAACGAAAAAGAGAATTGTAGATAATACTGTCTAGGAAAATAAGAATTAGGTTTCTTTGAAGAAGGAATCTTTTATAAACACATTAACAGTCACCACTCCGCTCAACCAGACAGGTATTGAAACAGCTTTCTGGGTAATTCACCAATTTCCTTGAAAACGTAAGCTACGTGAATGGAGAATTGATTTTGTTTCCAAGTTTCAACACTAGCATTTTTGGTTTACTCATGGCCAAAGTTCTGTATATAGTATAAAGTCATTAACAAGAAACAGGATGTGCTTTAAGACAGAATTCACTGTCTGTTGCTTCGGTAAAAGGACCTCGGGGAATAGAACATTTCTCTCTTATATACTGGAACGTAGGCTGGCCCCTATGTCATGTTTTCCATTGAGAACACTGAAAAGTCCTTGCAAGAATGAAGATAAGCATTCAAGAGAGGTGCTATCGCATAGATCTGTCTGAAGCTTGGAACACTTTCCTCTTCTGTGACCCCCCTCTCCCCGGTATTATCTTACTTGCAAAATAGAGACCAAATTCTATCCTGTGAGGCTTTTAATTGCACCATAGTATTCTCTGAGTAGCTTTACAATGCCTGGTACTGATAGGAGGGGCTCGATTTTTAAGAGCCTTCAGTTGTAAATGAGCATCTCATGTTATTTATCCCTCATTCATTCATCCATTCATTCATTCAGCCTGCATTCAATAAACATTTCTTGAGTGTCTATTATGTACAGGACATGTACTGAGACAAAAAGGAAAAATAAGAGCTTTTTCACTCTAAAAATCTTGGCAATAATGTCAACACCAGATAGTCTTGTCTGGAGAATCTTACAGAGTGATTGTATTTTAATACAGGAATGCACAGGTCTGTGTAGCATGATACCAGGCCCAGGAGATCAATAATTACAAATTAGGGGTTAAATCAGAGTTTAATCAACAGAGAGAGAGAAAGGAGGAGACAGAGTGAGGGCCGGTTGTGTTCCAGGCATTCTGGTAGTCCTTTATGTATTGAATTTCATTCAAACTTCACAACGGTCTTGTGAGGACCTCATATAATTATTCCCATTTTGCAGGTGAAGTAACTGAGGCCTAGAAAGGTTAATAGCATCAGGGAATAATTTCTCTGTGAGAATTAGGACTCTGTTACTGGTGTCCTGATTTCATTTCCTGAGGTGGGTTTACTAAGAGATGGTGAAATAAAGTCATATTTAGGATACCAGAGAAGGTAGATTTTAAGAATGGTTTCAGTGTTAATAATGACAAAAAGTCCTGTCAGCTCAGAAAAAATGTGAAATCTGCTTTACTATTCCTGTAACCCATTGAGTTTCTAAATATTTATTTATTCTAACAAAAAGCAATTACTACAATAAATGATAGATTTAATGAAAACAATTTTATTTTTTTCTATAACTGTACTTGTTGAATGTTAATCATATTTAAAGGGAATGACTTTGAAGTAAAACCTTTTTTTCTTGCTACTGAAAAAAAAAATGGAATTATTTTGGGTGGTAAAGTGTTAAGGAGTAGAGAAGCCTGGTCACACAAGGAACCATCGTAAGCCACATGTGAAAACCTGTCACTTGCAGAGAGGCAGCCCCGCTAAGGTGACCAGAGAGGGCTACAAGCACACATTGTCATTGCTATAGATGAGGCTGTGTCCCCACCCCCGAAATTCATATGTTGGATCCTTAACTCTTAGAGTGATGGTATTTGAGATGGGGCCTTTTGGTAAGGGAAGTTCAGATAAGGTCACAAGGGTGTGATTCTCATGATGAGGTGAGTGCCCTTTTAAGAGCTCTGGCTTGGGCCAGGCATGCTGGCTCGTGCCTTGTAATCCCAGCATTTTGGGAGGCTGAGGCGAGGGGATCACTTGATGCCAGGAATTCCAGACCAGCCTGGCCAACATGGTGAAACCCTGTCTCTACTAAAAAATACAAAAATTAGCTGGGTGTGGTGGCACCTACCTGTAATCCCAGCTATTCAGGAGACTGAGGCATGAGAATCTCCTGAACCCAGGAGGCGGTGGTTGCAGTGAGCTGAGATCGCCCCACTGCACTCCAGCCCAGGCGACAGAGCAAGACTTTGCCTCAAAACAAAACAGGGGCAGGGATAGGGAATGCACCCAGGGTCAGTAGTGAAGTCTAAAAACTGTCTCTTTTCAACTTATTTAAGTGACAGCACCTGAGAAGAAATGTTTTACACTGGATGTTTCTCATATAGAACGAGAACTCTTTCTGGAATAGAAGTTTACATGTCCGTTGTTGGGCATCTCTCCTATGTCTTAAATACTTTAATACTGGAAGAGCATAGTGTGGGCCAGTAGATCTCGGACACCCCACGGGAATGTCCTGAAACTGCTGTATCTGAGGTTTGTTTTTGATGAGAGTCCATGTTTTGTTTTCTTGGGAATAAATTAATATATTGTTTTCCACTTTGGGGATACTGTGTATTTTTATTTGACAATTAGTTAAAAATCCACTAAAGGGTATGTCTAGCTAGGCAAGTCTGCTATTAAGCAAAATTTACATTCATATATACAGGCATGTCTGTCTACAAAACAACCATCCACTGAAAAATGATTAAACTTTCCCATGGTGAGGGGTTGGGGAGAGTAAGTGCAAGTCAGAGAGAGAAGAGGGCACAATAGAAGATCAGTGTCATTTGAATTGGGTATAACTTTTTTTTTTGTAAGGGCACAACTATTTTTAAAATTTGAGACAGGAATAGGTTAACTTATTATTTACCTGCCTTTTTATTCATTTGAAAAATCAAGATATACACTAGCAAAAAGTTTTATGTTGTTATTACCATAATTACTTATCAAGTGCCAACATTTAAAAAATTCATTTAAAGGACATCTTATTCATCATTTTTTCAAATAAAAATATTTTAAATAAATAAAAAATATTTTAAAACATAAAAAAATTTTAAACTCTAATAATAAATATGTACATGCTCATAAGCATGGAAATAATGAAGAATATAGAATAAAAACTGAACTACTTTCTCCAGAGGTAATCGCTTATTTGCTTTTTTAGTTTTTGTTTTTCTGAGACGGGGTCTCACTCTGTCAGCCAGGCTGGAGTGCAGTGGAACAATCATGGCTCACTGAAGCCTCAACCTCCCAGGCTCAGGTGATCCTCCCATCTTAGCATCCCAAGTAGCTGGGACCACAGGCATGCACTACCACACCTGGCTAATTTTTGTATTTTTTGTAGAGACAGGGTTTTGCCATGTTATCCTGCCTGGTCTCAAACTCCTGGGCTCAAGTGATCCACCTGCCTCAGCCTCCCAGTGCTGGGTTACAGGCGTGAGCTACCATACCTGGTCTTATCTGCTGTATCTTCTTAAGTCCTTTCTCAATGTACTGATATAGCCTATAGCAGGCTGTCCGGTAGTCCAGTGAAATTTCTGCAATGATAAAAATGTTCTACATCTGCCCTGTCCAATATAATTGCCACTCACATAAGCTGTGAGCTCTTGAAATATAGCTAGTATGACTGGAAAATATTCTTTCACGTTTTATCTAGCTTTTTTTTTTTTTTT